TAATGAACTGAAAGGTGAAGCTTTGTTGCCCAAAAGCAAGAAAAATACTAGGGTGATCAGGATCAACAAAATAATTAATCTAGTATTCATTGATAGTTTATGAATTAGGTTCTAATCTGTTCCCCATTTATCACTATCACTATACAGTGTATTAAAATCTATCAGTGCTTCTGTACTATTTTAAATTTCTTGTTGAAACCTCTTACATTGGCCTCTCTTGGTCTTTGATGAACATTTAATAAGACAAGTTATTTTTGTTCCATTTTTATTTATTTATTACTTATAAGTCTATCTGATCCTTAAAAGTATGAAAATACTTTTTGTATTATACAATAAAAATTCTTGCTTAATTCTCTTATTCTATTAACCTTTCAAGTACATTGTTTACAGTGATTAATTATCAAAAGTAAATGGCAAAGGGGAATAACTCCTCTCAGTAGAATACAAATTAATAGAGCTCTGGCCAGGACCAGAACACTTGAACAAATGATCCAGATGTTCAAAAATCTGGTAAAAATACCCTTCCTTATTAAAACTTTTAATCTTTTTGCCTCTGATATGCCCAAGTGCAGAGAAAATTTTTAAAGAAATAAAGCATTTTTACTTCAGATTCACTATATTATCAATAGAGCCCCCCCCCCCCCCCCTCTCCACCAAGAAACACTAGAGTCTCTCACCCTGGGACCAGAAGTTTGCTCATCATAAGTAATCACTTTGTTTGTCTGCTTAACACTAAGGAGCAGACAGGATTATTTAATAGAATTAATGCATTTTCACTATATTATCAAGAGCCCCACCCTTACACCAGCACATCTGACCCGGGTCATGCAATTCACTACTCTGGAAGAAGCACTCTTGCTCATCATAACTATATACTTAGCTTCTTTGCTTTTTAACCAGAAGCAGAAAAGAATATTTTCAAAGAAATTGTGCTTTTTCACTATATAATCAATAGAGCCCCCCCCCCCCAAACCTTTTCACTAGAACCCTTGACCCTGGGGCCATGAAATTCACAATTTTGGAAGAGGCATCCTTGTGTATCATAACAATGTATTTAGTTTGTTTAAATAGTACCCAGGGGCAGAGAAGAAGATTTTCAAAGAAAAAATTCACCTTCACTATAGGATCTATAATAGCCCCACCCTAGAACCAGAACCCCTGTCCCTGGGGCCATGAATTTCACAATTTTGGAAGAGGCATCATTGCTTATCATAACAATGTACTTAGTTTGTTTCAAAAATACCCAGGAGCAGAGAAGAAGATTTTTAAAGCATTAATGCATTTTCACTATATAATAAATAGAGCCCGGGCCCTAACATCAGAACCCCTGATCCAAGGGTCATGAAAATCACTATTTTGGAAGATTCACCCTTCCTAATATCATAACTATGTATTTAATTAGTTTCAATTATACCCAGGAGAAGAGAAGAAGATTTTCAAAGAAATAATGCACTTTCAGTATATGATCTATATAGCCCCACCCTAGCACCAGAACCCCTAACCCTGGGGCCATGAATTTCACAATTTTGGTAGAGTCCCCTTGCTTATCATAACTATGTATTTAATTTGTTTCAATAATACCCAGGAGTAGAGAACAAGATTTTCAAAGAAATAATGCACTTTCACTATATGATCTATATAGCCCCGCCCTAGCACCAGAACCCCTGACCCTGGGGCCATGAATTTCACAATTTTGGTAGAGTCACCCTTGCTTATCATAACTATGTATTCAATTTGATTCAATAATACCCAGGAGTAGAGAAGAAGATTTTCAAAGAAATAATGCACTTTCACTATATGATCTATATAGCCCCCCCCCCCCCCCAGCACCAGAAACCTTTACCCTGGGGCCATGAATTTCACAATTTCGGTAGAGTCACTCTTGCTTAACATAATTATGTATTTAATTTGTTTAAATAATGCCAAGGAGTAGAGAAGAAGATTTTCAAAGAAATAATGCACTTTCACTATATGATCTATATAGCCCCCCCCCCTCCCCACCTAGCAACAGAACCCCTGACCCTGGGGTCATGAATTTCACAATTTTGGTAGAGTCACCCTTGCTTATCATAACTATGTATTTAATTTGTTTCAATAATACCCAGGAGTAGAGAAGAAGATTTTCAAAGAAATAATGCACTTTCACTATATGATCTATATAGCCCCCCCCCCCCTCCCCACCTAGCAACAGAACCCCTGACCCTGGGGTCATGAATTTCACAATTTTGGTAGAGTCACCCTTGCTTATCATAACTATGTATTTAATTTGTTTCAATAATACCCAGGAGTAGAGAACAAGATTTTCAAAGAAATAATGCATGTTCACTATATGATCTATATAACCCCACCCTAGCACCAGAACCCCTAACCCTGGGGCCATGAATTTCACAATTTTGGTAGAGTCACCCTTGCTTATCATAACTATGTATTCAATTTGTTCCAATAATACCCAGGAGTAGAGAAGAAGATTTTCAAAGAAATAATGCACTTTCACTATATGATCTATATAGCACCCCCCCCCTCCCCCTAGCACCAGAACCCCTGACCCTGGGGCTATGAATTTCACAATTTTGGTAGAGTCACTCTTGCTTAACATAACTATGTATTTAATTTGTTTCAATAATACCCAGGAGTAGAGAACAAGATTTTCAAAGAAATAATGCACTTTCACTATATGATCTATATAACCCCACCCTAGCACCAGAACCCCTGACCCTGGGGCCATGAATTTCACAATTTTGGTAGAGGGCTCAATGCTTATTACAATCATGCAAACAGTTTGACTGCTTGATGTCCAGGAGTAAAGAAGAAGACTTTTAAAGATTGCATTAATTTTGGTGGTTTTAGCCCCACCCCTCAGGCCCCAGGGGGGCAGGGACCATGATATTCACAAATTTTGTTCCCCTTCACACATAGATGCCATATGCTAAAATTGGTTGAAATTGGTTCAGCGGTTTCAGAGAAAAAGCTGAAAATGTTCAAATGTTAACACACGACGCACGACGGATGACGACGGACGAAAACAGATAGCAATAGGTCACCTGAGTGACTCAGGTGACCTAAAAATCTACACTATCCCAGGATGCTTCCACATAAGTTTCAGTTTTTCTGGCCCAGTTGTTCTTGAGAAGAAGATTTTTCTTACATATTTCAATGTAAAATTGGATTCCCTATTGTGGCCCCGCCCTACCCCCGGGGGTCATGATTTTTACAATTTAGTATCTACACTACCCCAGGATGCTTCCACATAAGTTTCAGCTTTTCTGGCCAAGTGGTTCTTGAGAAGAAGATTTTTAAAAAATTTTCCTATATATTTCAATGTAAAACTTGGATTCCCTATTGTGGCCCCGCCCTACCCCCGGGGGTCATGATTTTAACAATTTAGCATCTACACTACCCCAGGATGCTTCCACATAAGTTTCAGCTTTTCTGGCCCAGTTGTTCTTGTGAAGAAGATTTTTCAAGATTTTTCTTACATATTTCAATGTAAAATTGGATTCCCTATTGTGGCCCCGCCCTATCCCCGGGGGTCATGATTTTAACAATTTAAAATCTACATTATCCCAGGATGCTTCCAGGTAAGTTTCATCTTTTCTGGCCCAGTTGTTCTTGAGAAGAAGATTTTAAAAGATTTTTCCTATTCATTTCAATGTAAAACTTGGATTCCCTATTGTAGCCCCGCCCTATCCCAGGGGGTCATGATTTGAACAATTTAGAATCTACACTACCCCAGGATACTTCCACTTAAGTTTCAGCTTTTCTTGCCTAATGGTTCTTGAGAAGAAGATTTTTATAGATTTTTCTTATATATTTCAATGTAAAACTTGGATTCCCTATTGTGGCCCCGCCCTACCCCCGGAGGTCATGATTTTAATAATCTCCACTACCCCAGGATGCTTCCACATAAGTTTCAGCTTTTCTGGCCAAGTGGTTCTTGAGAAGAAGATTTTAAAAAAAATTTTCCTATTTATTTCAATGTAAAACTTGGATTCCCTATTGTGGCCCCGCCCTTCCCCCTGGGGTCATGATTTGAACAATTTAGAATCTCCACTACACCATTATGCTTCCACATAAGTTTCAGCTTTTCTGGCCTAGTGGTTCTTGAGAAGAAGATTTTTCCTATATATTTCAATGTAAAACTTGGATTCCCTATTGTGGCCCCGCCCTACCCCCGGGGGTCATGATTTGAACAATTTAAAATTAACACTATCCCAGGATGCTTCCACATAAGTTTCAGCTTTTTTGGCTCTGTGGTTCTTGAGAAGAAGATTTTTAAAGATTTTTCCTATATATTTCAATGTAAAACTTGGATTCCCTATTGTGGCCCCGCCCTGCCCCCGGGGGTCATGATTTTAACAATTTAAAATCTACACTATCCCAGGATGCTTCCACATAAGTTTCAGCTTTTCTGGCCTAGTGGTTCTTGAGAAGAAGATTTTTAAAGATTTTTCCTATATATTTCTATGTAAAACATTGATTCCACATTATGGCCCCGCCCTACCCCCGGGGGTCATGATTTGAACAATTTAGAATCTACACTACCCCAGGATGCTTCCATATAAGTTTCAGCTTTACTGGCCCTGTGGTTCTTGAGAAGAAGATTTTTTAATGACCCCACCCTATTTTTGTCTTCTCTTGATTATCTCCCCTTGTGAGGGGACTTGGCCCTTCATTTTAACAATTTAAATTCCCCTTTACCCAAGGATGCTTTGTACCAAGTTTGGTCAAAATTGGCCCAGTGGTTCTTGAGAAGAAGTCAAAAATGTGAAAAGTTTACAGACGGATGGACAGACAGACGGACAGACAGACGGACAGACGGACGGACGGACGACGGACAAAATGTGATCAGAAAAGCTCACTTGAGCCTTCGGCTCAGGTGAGCTAAAAATAGTAAACAATTCAAGAATAATGGCCAATTTAAATCCCCTGTATACACAAACCAGGAAGTATAAATACCTGACAGGTAGATAACACAGGTATGTGGGTCACGTGATCAGAATACATAGAGATTTAGCCGACAAGACAGACGCCATTAAAGTCAGGTAAAAATTGTGATAATTTTAGCTCTATTTACAATTTTCATCTTTAGAAAAACTAAAAATATTTTACTTGATTGTAATTTCAATGCATTTTATAATTTTTTCATTCATTTCTTGATCTTTAACATATCTATGCCAATCTAAATTCAAAGTAATCAAGGTTAAGGAGGCGAATAAGTGTATGACTGAAAGAAATTTTCACCTGTTGATCTTTGTAATCTACTGTTATGTACTAAGTATTTCTAAACTCAATTTGCACCATTCACAACAAAGATAGCAACAAGTTAATTCAGAGAATTTGTGTCCCCCGCTTAAGGAAAAAAGAAGAGCATGCACAGATCTAGATTATGGGGGGTGGAATCCCCCCTCCCCCTTAGATTTGAAGAATTATTAAATGTATAGATGTATTCCGAAGCAAATAAAGAATGCCAATATGGATATATAGATTTGATTGCTTATTCTTTGATATGTGTACAGAAGATTCTTTTTATATAAAATATTTATCTCACTGTAATAATAATTTTATGAAAAGTTTGTACACACCAGACGTCATAACTTCATTTCATATGTTGAATACTATCACTTAGTAAATAAAAAAAAACATTAAAAAAAGTACAGGATCGTCTGGGATTTGAACCTGGGACCTGTCATATTCTAAGCAAGAATTTTTTTTTCTCTTTACCAAGCAAGAATCATACCCTCCTACCCCTAGACCAACAAGGTGCTTGCTTATAAAGCAAATTAAATGCAAACATTACGTCACATATGCATGTTTATCACATTTGATATTGTCAAAATTTTACACAACACATGATGTCTAATTTAGCCTTTACTAAACAGTTCTAATAGATGTAATTAGAATATAATGTCTGCCGACAACCTGTATTATATGTAATTTAACTCTCCACATGCTCCTGTGCTAAAAATAGTGCCACCTTTAATACAATTAAAACAAGAGGCCCAAGGGCCTTAACCTGAGTATAATACATGTACAACACTGTAAGGGACCCATAGAAGTATAAAATACAAGAGGCCCATGGGCCACATCGCTCACCTTAGCACATTGGCTAGGCAAAAGCACAAATCAGTTCAGAATTGAAAAGATTACCGGGGGGGGGGGGGGGGGGGGGGGGGGGGCATGAATTCTAAACAACCTGATGATGCTTCCATGTCAATATAACAAATGGCTTTGTTGTACTTGAGATTTAAAAAAAAATTCCCATATATTCCTTTGTAAAAATTTGATCCCCCATTGTGGCTCCTCCCTATCCCAGGGGTCATCATTTGAACAAACTTGAATCTACACTACCTGAGGATGCTTCCATATCAATATGACTAAACATAGCTTTTCTGTTCTTGAGAAGAAATGTTTTTTCTATATGTTTTTATGTAAAACTTTCGATCCCCATTAGGCCCCACCCTACCCTGGGGTCATCATTTGAACAAAATTGAATAAAAATGACTAATCATGGTTTGCAGTTCTTCAGAAGAAGATATTTTCCTATATATTTCTATTTAAGACTTTGATCCTCCATTGTGGCCCCACCCTACACACGAGGGTCATGATTTGAACAAAATAGAATCTACACTACCTGAGGATGCTTCCAAATAAATATGATCAATCAGGGCTTTGCTGTTCCTGAGAAGAAGATTTTTTAAAATTTTCCTATACATTTCTATGTAAAACTTTGATCATCCATTGTGGCCCCACCCTACCCCCGGGGGTCATGATTTTAATAAATTTGAATCTACACTACCTGAGGATGCTTCCATATAAATATGACAAATCTGGGCTTTGCTGTTCTTGAGAAGAAGATTTTTCCTATATATTTCTTTGTAAAACTTTGATCATCCATTGCGGCTCTACCCTACCCCTGGGGATCATGGTTTGAACAACCTTGAATCTACACTACCTGAGGATGCTTCTATATAAATATGACTCATAATGGCTTTGCTGTTCTTGAGAAGAAGATTTTAAAAGATTTTTCCTATATATTTCTATGTAAAACTTTAATCCTCCATAGTGGCCCCACCCTACCCCCCGGGAGTCAAGATTTGAACAAACGTGAATCTACACTACCTGAGGATCTTCCATATAAATATGACTCATCATGGCTTTGCTGTTCTTGAGAAGAAGATTTTTGGAGATTTTTCCTATATATTTCTATGTAAAACTTTGATCCTCCATTGTGGCCCCGCCTTACCCCAGGGGGTCATGATTTGGACAAACTTGAATCTACACTACCTGAGGATGCTTCCATATAAATATGACTCATCATGGCTTTGCTGTTCTTGAGAAGAAGATTTTTGGAGATTTTTCCTATATATTTCTATGTAAAACTTTGATCATCCATTGTGGCCTCGCCCTACCCCTGGGGATCATGATTTGAACAAACTTGAATGTACACTACCTGAGGATGCTTCCACATGAGTTTCATCTTTCCTGGCTGTGTGGTTCTTGAGAAGAAGATTTTTAAATGATGCCATTATTTTTTCACTAATTCCTAATTACCTCCCCTTGAAAGAGGGCGTGGCCCTTCATTTGAACAAACTTGTATCCCCTTTACCCAAGGATACTTTGTGCCAAGTTTGGTTGAAATTGGTCCAGTGGTTCTTGAGAAGAAGTCGAAAATGTGAAAAGTTTACAGACAGACAGACGGACAGACGGACGGACAGACGGACAGACAGACGGACAGACGGACGCCGGACAAAATGTGATCAGAAAAGCTCACTTGAGCTTTCAGCTCAGGTGAGCTAAAAATTAACTGATATATCGATAGACATAGCAATGTTGCCCAAGAATTTCAAAAATCTGGTAAAAATACCCTTGCTTATTGTAACATGCCAGACCCGAGTGATCACCTTGGGATCATACTTGTTTTTCCAAAGTCTTACAGGGATGATAATGAATGCAAAATATACAAATAAAATGGACACTTGCATATTGTGTAAGGTATTCAATATATACAGATATGTTTTTGTCACTTGCCTAGTACGTGCTACAATTCAGGACACACAGACTTGGGTAGACAATGTGGCTATTTACCACTTGTCACTAATTACAATAGGTTTCCCTGGCTCACTGTGATTCTTTATTCACTTTGATAAAGTATAAAATCAACTATATCCAGTAATATAACTTAGAGCACCACAATGTAAACATATTATTATACCTCATTATAACTATTCTACACAACGCGTTATCTGATTGGTTCTACATTATCACGTGATCGGGCCATAAAACTTCATATTTCACGGTCGTCGGCATGCTTTTCATCATATTTCCCCTCTTCGGATACCTAGTGCATTTTCCCGCAATAGTTATTGTTCGTTGAAAGAAAACTCCCGAGAGACATCCCGAGACGTCACAATAGCCTGGTTTACGTCACAAAATTGATGATTAGTGATGTGTCAAAGGGTTTCATTAACTTTACGTTAAAAATGAAAGTGAATTTGAGAGCGGTGCCGAATTTGAAAGTTTATGTTTATTTCAAAGTTTTTGCTTGTTTCGGTATAATAAACAATTCATTGCATGAATGTTCGGGAAACATGAAGATTTATTCAGCCAAGAAATATCATATTCCCCTCGGGCAAAGCCCTCGGGGAATATGATATTTCTTGGCTAAATAAATCTTCACATTTCCCTCACTATCATGCAATAAATGTATATTGTGTTCTTTTCACAACTTTTTCTAAATATATAAATAATCTTTACGTCAATCTTTTTATATTGCTTTCCAGGCAAGAATCTGACTTTGAGCATGCTTTGCTCATTTAAACAAAACATTCATTTTTATTTTGTTTCTTTATATATAACATTCTTTCTTGATTTCTCAGTCAATCAAATAACCTGTTAATTAAATTATACACAAGGATCTCTTGATTAACAACATCTAGCAAAGGGGTGTAACTCTCATTTGCTTCACTTATTACAATTGTGTACTCTGTTTGCCTCCTATAGATACACAGGAGCAAAGAAAAGGCACGTTTACTTATAATTAGAATTAATGTTTTTTCACTATATAATCATTAGAGCCCCGCCCTAACACCAGAACCCCTGAGCCAGGACCATGAAATTCACAATTCACAATTTTGGAAGAGGCACTCTTCCTCATCATAACTATGTACTTAATTCATCGGCTTAAAACCCAGGAGCAGAGAAGAAGATTTTCAAAGAATTAATGCATTTTCACTATATACATGTATAATCATTAGGGCCCTGCCCTTACACCAGAACCCCTGACCCAGGGGCCATGAAATTCACAGTTGTGGAAGAGGCACTCTTGCTCATCATAACTAAGTACTTCACTGGCTAAATACCTAGGAGCAGAAGAGAAGATTTTTAAAGAATTAATGCATTTTCACTATATAATTATTAAAGCCCCGCCCTAGCGCCAGAATCCCTGACCCTGGGGCCATGAATTTCACAATTTTTGGTAGAGGGCTCAATGCTTATTACAATCTTGCCAACAGTTTGACTGCTTGATGTCCAGGAGTAAGAAGAAAAATTTTAAAGATTGCATTAATTTTGATGGTGTTAGCCCCACCCCTCAGGCCCCGGGGGGGGGGGGGGGGGGGGGGGGGGGGCATGAATTTCACAATTTTACTCCCCTTCACCCATAGATGCTATGTGCCAAAATTGGTTGAAAACGGTTCCGTGGTTCCAGAGAAGAAGCTACAATTGTTCAAAAGTTTACGACCGATTGACGACGAACGACATACCACGAACGATGACAGACAAAAACAGATACCAATAGGTCACCTGAGTGACTCAGGTGACCTATGTGACTCAGGTGACCTAAAAATGGGGTGGGACACTTGGAAAGGGGCGAGAGAGGCTATAGTTAGGAGTTATGGTATAATATTTCATTGCAAAAGCTCAAAAGCTTCTTGAGAAATCATTCGGAGAAGAAAGTGTTAAACACAGACAGAATGTATGAATTTACGTATTTGATCTTTGACCTTTTGACCTCAAAATCAGTAGGTCTTCCTTAGCCTCCAGGGAGTTGTTATGTAAAATTTCATTGAGAAAGCTCAAAGGCTTCTCGAGATATCGCGCAGAAACGAAAGGTTTACAGACAGACAGAAATACAGACAGACACAGCTAGATGGACGGACAGACAGACCAAAATTAATATCCCCCACTTTCATGAAAGCGGGGGTACAATATGAACTAGTATAGATCTGTTAGAGACAACTTAAGAAAACTCCACTTCACATATATAAAAGAACTCAGAGTTATGATTCTTAGATAGGAAACATGCTAATAAAATTTAATAATTTCTTTCTTCATGATTTGACAAGTACAAATGCATCTTATTCATTTGATTTACTTAAATTGAGGTTCTATCAGAAAATTAAAAATTGTTCAAATGTATTTTTTTTCATAATAGGCCTATAGTTTATCATGGACCCCCGTACCAGTGCCCAGGATGTGATGCGATGTGACCTGTGTGAGACTGCTGTGGTACAGATGCACTGTGATACATGTCTTGTCAACCTGTGTACAGCTTGTGTAGGAAAACACATGATATCTGATCAATCTAAAAAACACGAAATTGTCCCATTCACTCTTAGAAAATCGACTCCCCTCTACCCTGGATGTAAAACTCATGTAAAAGAAAGATGTGAAATGTACTGTAATCAATGTGACATACCTGTGTGTGTCACCTGTCTTACTTCAGATCATCATCTAGGTCATAAACTATTAAAAGTTTTACAAGTTCTTAATGAAAAAAAAGATAAGATTATCAAAGAACAAACTGAACTAAATGAGACAATTTATCCCACCTACCAGGACATTGCCTCTGATGTACAAAACAGAATGAGTCAGTTAGAAAAGGAATATGGAGATCTCTCAATAGCCATAACAAAACATGGAGAGGACTGGCACAGAGAAATTGACAAACTTGTCAAGAAACTTAAAGCTGAAGTTGATGAGATGAAAAACACACAGTTACAAACTCTACAGAAACATCTGGATGAAATAAACAAGAAAATGTCTGACATCAAGGATGAAATCGATTCAGTGGATGTTGCTGTGGATTCTAATAACATTTCAATGCTATTTAGTGTCACATCTGAAATAGACAGACACAAAAATCTTCCAGTAAAAATTGTGCCCTCCATACCGAAATTTACCCCAGGAAAAATCCAAGGAGAACTCCGTAAATTGTTTGGAGCTTTATCATCAAGTACTTTAACCTCAGATAAACATGGCTACAGTATGAAGACACAGAAATCACCAGACACTGGATCCTCTCCTCCAGTCAAACAACTGCTTGATGAACCAGAGACTGTCACCACCATAGACACTGGGTATGATAACCTTTACAATGTGGCCTGTCTGAGTGATGAAGAAATCTGGACAAGTGGAGAGGACAGCACCATGAAACTCTACAGCATCAATCAGGGATCACTACTCAAGTCAATCAGAACCAAGTCAGGGTACAAACCATCTGACATAGCAGTGACAAAAAGTGGAGATCTAGTTTATACTGAATACATTGATAGAACTGTGAACATTGTGAAGAATGAGAAGATAGAGGAGGTGATCAGACTACAGAACTGGAAACCTCTCAGTGTCTGTAGTACCTCCTCTGGTGACCTCCTGGTTATCATGGTCAGTGATGATGACAAACAATCAAAAGTTGTCTGCTACTCTGACTCCACAGAGAAACAAACCATTCAGTTTGATGATAAAGGTAAACCTCTCTATTCAACTGGTCGTTATAACAGATACATAACTGAGAACAGGAACCTGGATATCTGTGTGTCTGACAAAGGAGCTAGAGCAGTAGTGGTGGTCAATCAGGTCGGGAAACTGAGATTCAGGTACACTGGACATACTCCTGCTCCAAAGAACAAACCATTCAGTCCAATAGGAATCATCACAGACAGTCAGAGTCACATCCTTACATCTGATAAAAACAATTACTGTGTCCACATCATAGACCAGGATGGACAGTTCCTCCGTTACATAGACTGTGGACTGAGTAAACCCTGGGGACTGTGTACAGATAAAAATGACAATCTGTTTGTTGCTCAGTATGGAAACGGACAAGTAAAGAAAATCAAGTATTTGCAATTGAAACTATAATTAAAGAAAAAAGAATATTATGAAAATAGTTAAAGATGTTTTTTTTTAAACCATAACAATGCAATTTGTGCATTTAAATGACAAATGAGAAGATCTGTATATTTTTTTTTATCAATGATCAACATGAATGAAAGGTGAAGTTATTATCATACATGTACATTTGCGTCTGAGTAAAATAGTTAGTCTAGTTACTCTGCAACAATTCAAAAAATATACATTTTTACTTGTCTTATATATTTCTATTTGTCACTATCACCAGAGATTTGTGATTGATCACACATACTGTAAATACATGGTTAATCCAGCGCATCCCCTCTCACGTTGGCCCCTCTTGGTCTTTGAATAATGTGTGGTTAATTATCTTGAGTGATTAACAAAGGGGAATAATTCTCTTAGAATAAAAATTTCCCTGGCCACTGATTGATTGATTGATTGTATATTGTTTTACGTCCCATTCGAGAATTTTTCACTCATATAGAGACGTCACCATATACCGGTGAAGGGCTTCAAATTTTGACCTTTACTCGGCACTCAGGGCCATTGAGCAGTGAGGGATCTTTATCGTGCCAACGCCTGCCATGACACGGGGCCTCGGTTTTTAAGGTCTCATCCGAAGGACCCGCAACTTTCACTTCAAAGTGCCGAGCGCATGGCGAAGGAACAGTTGCTACCTATTTTTTTATCGACTTAGGTCTGTCGCGGCCGAGATTCGAACTCACGATCTCCCGATCATGGAGCGAGCGCTCTACCGACTGAGCTACCGTGAACGGTGAACGGTCCCTGGCCACTGATAAATTTCACTGGCATATTGAAAAGGGAAATAACTCAATTTTCTATTTTCCAAATGGAGAAAGGAAATTGAGTTTATAATACCCTTTTCATGTATGCTAATATCTTTTTTAAAATTGAGTTCATTTTTAAAAAAAAATACATTTCATTCAAAAAAATAAAAAGGAAATGTCTGTCACATTGAATTTTAAAATCTTTGGCCTGAGAAACTAAAGATTAAATTTTTGGCCCTATTGAAATTGAATTGTATTATATAAATAGTGCACGTTTTTGAGGGTAACAGTTGAAATTGACACCCCAAGGAAAACCATTGTCAACCGACGCGTCAGCGGAGGTTGACAATGGTTTTCCGAGGGGTGTCAATTTCAACTGTTACCCTCAAAAACGTGCACTATTTATTTTATTATACTGAATGTCTTATTGATTTCGGGTGTCATAAAAAAATTCGGAGATCGTCGTTAAGTTCACGCTTAGAAAGCTTTCAAACTCCCCGCTTCTATTTTTCTCAATAAGAAAGCTTCGGAAAAGATTTACCAACCTCTTTATTGTTTGTTTGCTACTCAAAAAGTCCTTTATCATCTAAAGTTTGCACTCGCTAGGATGTTTCGTCTGTCGTTTGTTGTTTTCAAGTAAGCTACATCGGACGCAAGCTTTTATTGACGTCGTTTATTCGGCTTCTTTCAAACGCACAACCGACGTTTTGAGAATTCTACGGTGAACCGTACGCGCATGATTTGAACGCATGTGATATTTTCGTAATGTTACCCGTTGTCAAGTGTGTTGCTAACGCTGAGGGTAACATTACGAATTGTTAAATGCGCCTAAACCAATCAGATTTTAGTATTTAACATGAAAGTATAATAATATATAATATAAAGTTGAAAGAAATGTTGATGGAATGAAAAAAAATTCCAGAATGAATAAAAAAAAAATTGTTTCTAAGAGGTTTAAAAAAAGTTTTGAGTCGGGCCAATTTTAGTTTATCTGCTTAGGAGTAAAGAAGAAGAGTTTCAAAGAAGTAATGCATTTATCCTACATCATCAATAAAGTCCCACTTTAACACAAGAACACCCAACCCAGGGGCTATGAATTTCACAATTTTGAAGATGCAACCTACTTTATCAAAATCATGAACTTAGTTTGTCTACTTCATATTCAGGGGGAGAGAAGAAATAGAGGACTCAATGTTTATTATAATCATGCCCTTAAATCATCCCTCAATCTTAAGAGGGAAGGGACCATGGAAATTTTTACTCCCCTTTTATCCATGACTGTCATACACTGAAATTAGTTGAAATTCATTTAGTGTTCCAGAGAAGAGGCTGAAAATATTCAAAATTTTACTGAGGACACATGATTCACGATGACGAACAACAACAGATAGCAAAAGGAGACCTTAAAAAATATATACTGTGGAAGATCAAATTATCATAAAGGTTACACTATGAAATACATCAATCAATTAAAAGTCTGTATATATTAATACAAATTTAAATTTCCTTCCCCCAATACGGTACATATACCTATTGTTTGTTTACCTTCTGTACTTGGTCAAGGTGTTTGAGCATTGTTTTAATTTTAGAAGCCAGTCTCTCCTCAAAATGGACGCGGACTTTAGGAATGAAGTACACAACCAACTGTAAACATCTGGAAGCCAGAGCTGAAAACAAAGCAAAAATCTGAATTTCCTCTAAAATACTTTGTTCTGTATATATATAGGTCCTTTAGTTCAAGTTTTCTCCACAAACAAAATGCAGTTTAAGATTAACTCTTTTCCCCTTAGACCTTTCCCTCCTTTACCCCTTAATGACGACTTTTGACACCTAGCCCCCAACCCTTAATGACGACTTTTGATGCACGTGTATTTCATTGTTGAAATTACCGCTTGTTTACGAATTATCAGAGCACAGGTGGCCACCTGCGGGTTAACAATAGATGATTGCATCATACTACAGTTAGAAATGAATGTCAGACACCTCGGCCCAACGACACCTCGGCCCATTGACATCTCGGCCCAATGACACCTCGGCCTCGACTGGTCGGCCCAAAATTTAAGACACCTCGGCCCATACATAAGACACCTCGGCCCAAGCAAACTTTTATTAAGAAGTATTATATATTTCCAATCTGCGACTTCAATAAAATTTTGACCGAAAAAAAAGTAAACGATCAAGATTATTTTTAGTAATAAAAAGACCTTCCACAAGCTGCATGATTGACGATAATCAAGGAATAAAAAGACAATTATAATTAATAATTACGAGCAGGTTTAGTCATTCAGAACATTTAATTACATCCATTTATTTCTGAAGAATTCCACTTACATTAAAAACTAGTTCGAGCCCTGATTTTTTTTAATTTTATTTTTAGCTATCTTTATCAAACTATGGTTTTAAATCAATGAGCATGATGAAACATACGATGAAGTTCAGATCAATAATGCCATTATTTTACGTACTTAAACTATTTATTTTTTAATACGATTATTTATACTGACATAAGTGTAAACAATAAAATCAGATGTTTCAGATCGTCAGAGAAATAATGCAAAATGTTACGATAAAATTCCAGCAATTCTTATAGAAAGTCAAGATCATTAGAATATTGATATATATTATAGTTCCACTTAAGTGTATATATTAGGGATTTTTCAAAAGAGATAGATGTTATAGTTAAGGACGTGTTGATCTGATTTGCTTAGGGAAGTTAACCAATTTTCTATTATAGACCCCCCCCCCCCCCCCCCCTTTGATTTTTTTTTAAAAAATCGTTTGACCGTCAGAAAGAATAATAACATCGATAATAATAACAATTTAGACACTGGATTAATTTTTTCTATCATAAAATTTCGCTTGGGCCGAGGTGTCTTTTATATGGGCCGACGTGTCCATAATCTTGGGCCGACCTGTCAGGGCCGAGGTGTCAGACGTCACGGGCCGAGGTGTCGTTGGGCCGAGATGTCTGTCTAGAAATCACGTGATTTACCTGTGTAAACAAACAATAGAATCTTGGAAAGTCCCACCAAAATTCAAAATGGCGGACTGTTACATACGATGTTTTTTGAGCATATAACTCAGTCAATACGCAATATTTTCTCATCCAGTAAAGCATTACATGAAATTCAAGCTATAAAGTACCTATTTCTTGAAAGGTTTGAAAATTATAATGATCTATATGTGTAATATACTCCACAATAAGATACGAAAATTTTGTGAAGTTGGGAACTGCGCAGTGCCGATTTCGTTACCTGTTTCTCACAAATTCAGAAGATTCCTTCCATTTTACACATATTTATAAATGTAAAGGTGTAGAAAATAATTATTTTAATAGAATTGGATAATTAAAATATCCAAAAACGTTCAGAAATCAAGTTTTAAAACGCAAGTCTGAAAATTTGTCGGCGAGACCGACATTGAAGTAGCACTACAATTTATTGATTTTGGAGGAATTAAACTTATAAAATTGATAATAATTTAACCATCAATTATATCATCACACATATTTTTTATTATTTATATAGACAATTTTGGCTTATTAAGGCCGTTTTACATGTTGAAAATATCCATTTTGCTATATACAACTGCTTTCACCTGAATTATTTTTTTTATAGAAAATTCCGACCGAAATTACGTAGATCTAAATAGATTTGAAAAATTTAATTTATTACGAATCCAATGATATATAATACATAGCATAAATTAAATATTTTGACCCTTATTAGTTCAGTTTTAAACTGCACTCCAATTCATCTAAAATGCTCTAAGGGGCAGCCAGGCAAACACTCTAAGGATATGGCCAGTGCGTCAAATCGTGGCATTAAGGGGTAAAGAGTTAAGATAATGATATGCACTATTAAGAGCACGCTGTACCTAGATTTTTGGTGGAGATGGTTTTCAGTCCCACAAGTTGAAGGGCACCTGCACCTAACACCAGCTGGCAAGTTCTTGAATTGAAAATCTACAACATTGAACATCATAAATTTTATAAGTAACCCCTCCCTTTTTAAATATCCAACAACAAGATTATCTTGATTTATCTCCATTTTAATAGAAATAATAAATGTACTTTTAGAATTATTGTTGAGAAAATATAAACATATCAGAGATAATTCACGATTTTTAATCAGGGATTTCCAAGTTATGTAAATAACAAGTACATTGTATATGATAATAATGGTTTACATGGAGTTTAGACTCCCTTTGAAGAGGTCTACAAGTCTAGACAACAGATCTGGTGCCGCTGATGGAATATCGTTCACACACTGACAATACTCCACAATCATCTTCAACAGCATCATCACTGTCCTGTAAACAAATAAACATCTATACTGTAAACAAATAAACATCTATACTGTGAACAAATAAACATCATCTATACTGTTAACAATTAAACATTAACCATACTATAAACAAATAAATATCTATACTGTCAACAAAATAAACATTATCTTTACTCTAAATAATTAAAATTCATCTATACCATAAACAAATAAACATCTATACAGTAAACAAATAAACATAATTTATACTGTAAACAAATAAACATAATTTATACTGTAAAGAAATTAGCATCATCTATACTGTAAACAAACATAATTTATACTGTAAACAAATTACCATCATCTATACTGTAAACAAATAAACACAATTATGATCAGCACTGTGTTGGGAAATGACAGTGCAATTTTTACATATTACCAAACTGAACATTAAAATTACTAATACAAGCAGAAATATCCTCTATGTCTTATTACTGCACCTGCCAAAAAAGAAAAAAATAACAATCTATTTTGACATCATGTGCACTACAATTTTACCACACTTGACTTCACCTATGTGGCCTCACACATTCTCTGGAGCAAGGAGATAAGTAAGTAAGTAAATACTTACCCTACAACTGCAAATGTCTGATCTTCAACAACCAACACTTCTGTAGGGCCTTTATCTGAACACAGAAACAAGTCAAATAATAAAATCACAAACACTAAAAATAATACACATAACTTATCATACCTAACTAGAGCAGTCTAATTTGTATTCAGCAGCAGCACTGTGAGATGATGTTCATACTATACATATTTGTAGAGTCAATGTTAAAAAAAATCTTCAGTTTTGGATTTTTGTCAATAATAAACTCACTTTCTTACTTAACAATAAACTGTAAACCAAGACATGCAATAAATATCTGTGAGATCTGCAAGCAACCTCTGCCTGCAGATAATTATCACCTCAAACCAGTTTTCATTATAATTCCCAATGTTAACAAGAATGTAACAGGTTAGAGTTAAAATATTGTATAAAGAAAAAAACTGGATTGCACTAAAAGCAGTAAAAATCTAATCTTTGACCAATACATTTACATTTTGTATCCACTTCACTCTTTTGAGTGCTTCGTGATGGCAGGGTTGGGAAGTAAAGCTGATATTTCTGATATCGTCTATGGGCAACCCTTTTAGGCCACCCTACCCCCTGGGGTCATGATTTGAACAAACTTGATTCTAAATTACTGAGGATGCTTCGGAATCCACATAAATATGACTAATCTTGAATTTGTTCTTCTTGAGGAGAAGATTTTAAAGATTTTTTATATGTATTCCAATGCAAAACTTTGATCACACATTGTGGCCCCACCTTACACCTGGGGATCATGATTTGAACAAACTTTATTCCACCTACTTGAGGATGCTTCCATATAAATATGAATAATAATAGCTTTGCTGTTCTTGAGAAGAAGATTTTAAAAATATTTTTTCTATGTTTTCCAATGTAAAACTTTGGTCGCCCATTGTGGCCCCACCCTACCCCTAGGGGTCATGATCTGAACAAATTTGAATCTACACTACCTGAGGATGCTTCCACATAATTTACATATTTTCTAGCACAGTGCATCTTGTGAAGATTTTTAAATGATGCCATTAATTTTTCACAAATTCGTAATTATCTCCCCATGGAAGAAAGCATCGCCCTTCATTTGAACAAACTTGAATTCCCTTCACCCAAGTATATTTTGTGGCAAGTTTTGTTGAAATTGACCCTGTGGTTCTTGAGAAAAAGATGAAAATGTGAAAAGTTTATGATGACAACAACAACAGACAACGGACAAATTTGATCAGAAAAGCTCACTTGAGCCTTCGGCTCAGATGAGTTAAAAATAATAAAATACAAATGTGTCAATAGTCCAACAATTAATATGATTCTAGTCTATTTATGGTTAATAAAAATATCTACAAAGCAAATGCTAAGTTCTGTAAGCTAAGATGGGTTTTATAATCTAAGAACTTTGAGATTAATACTATATAAAACCTAAACTGCTTTTTACATGACATACAATATATTTGAATGTACCTGTTTGGGTGATATGATTAACGAGCTCTTGGAATTCCGCTGGGAGGTCCGCTTGTTTCCATCGCTCATTGTCCAAAATGAGGCTACAATAAAGAAGAAGATTTCAATAGATGGGGAAATTCTTCATTTTATTACATTATATTTTAATCAGCAGTTATTCCAAAATATATTACAGAATTTTACCCAATAACCTTTCTTCAAATGAATATTTTCAGTATCCACTACGTTGTGATGATTACCTGAGTTTGGTCCGTCTTTCTTCATGGAATCTGTTCACAAATTTAAGTGCCTGAAAAATTCAGAATAAAAAGGGTATCATTAATAAATCCTTTGTAAACTCTATGATATTCATTCATCAGTGAATTTTCAGTTGTTAACAAACTAGAGCATAGAACTTACCTGTGACTGTAGACAGAATTGCAGTGACATACACCATCGACCACTAATGGTTTCACAATCAGTGAAAAATTCTCAACCTCTCGAGACAAAGCCACAAATTCAATGGAAGTCAGCTGTTCCAAAAATCCATCCTGCAAAATATAAAAAACAAGAGACGTTTGTAATTCACTTATGCCCCCCCCCCCTCTCAAATAATTGGAATTTTTCTAAGTCCAAGGGGCATAACTCTGTCCAAAATAACTCGATAGTACCCAAAACAGAACTTGACCTTGATATTCTTAGAATAAATCTGTATACCAAATTTGATTTCAGTATGTGCAACCTCTGCAAAGAAAATGAATGGAAACTGCAAATAATTGGAATTTTTCTTAGTCCAAGGGGCATAACTCTGTCCAAAATGGATCGATCGTACCGAACATAGAACTTGACCTAGATATTCTTATGATAAATATGTATACCAAATTTCTTTCAGTATGTGCAACCTCTGCAAAGAAAATGAATGGAAAATGAATTGAAACAGCAAATAATTGGAATTTTTCTAAGTCCAAGGGGCATAACTCTGTCCAAAATGGCTCGATCGTAATCAAAACAGCAAGTGACCTAGATATTCTTATGATAAATCTGTATACCAAATTTCATTTCAGTACGTGCAACCTCTGCAAAGAAAATGAATGGAAACAGCAAATAATTGGAATTTTTCTAAGTCCAAGGGACATAACTCTGTCCTAAATGGCTCAATCGTACCCAACACAGAACTTGACCTAGATATTCTTATGATAAATCTGTATACCAAATTTCATTTCAGTATGTGCAACCTCCGCGAAGAAAACTAGAACTGTCCAAAATGGACAAATACCCCTGCTGGGTTTTTCAGAGAAGGTGGCACGTCACTAATACTTGCCCAAATGACCTTGGGTCACTGTCACTACACACCCTCAGGACATAAGCAATCTTTGTATGAAAAAGGAACTCGCCAAATCTATCCATAAGAAAGATATGGACCAGACACGAATTATGAACTTTTTTCCGTCAGTGACCTTCAACTTGCCCAAATGACCTTGGATCAAGGTCAAGACACATCCTCAGGTTATAAGCAATCTTTGTGTAAAATGGGAACTCACAAAGTTTATCCATAAGAAAGATATGGACCGGACACGAATTATGAACTTTTTCTGTCAGTGACCTTGAACTTGCCCAAATGACCTTGGATCAAGGTCATGACACACCCTCAGGTCATAAACAATCTTTGTGTGAAGTAGCAGATTCAAGTTTATCCATAAGAAAGAAATGGACATGACATAAATTATGAACTTTTTCTGTCAGTGACCTTGAACTTGCTCAAATGACCTTGGGTCCAGGTCATGACACACCCTCAGGTCATAAGCAATCTTTGTGTAAAATAAGAACTCACAAAGTTTATCCATGAGAAAGATAGGGACCGGACGCGAATTATGAAATTTTTCTGTCAGTGACCTTGAACTTGCCCAAATGACCTTGGGTCAAGGTCATGACACACCCTCAGGTCATGAACAATCTTTGAGTCTAGTAGTAGATTCTAATGTTCCTCCGTAAGAAAGATATGGACCGGACACGTTTGCACAGACGGACAGACAGACGGACGGACAGACGGACGCCAGACAAAATATGATCAGAAAAGCTCACTTGAGCCTTTGGCTCAGGTGAACTAAAAACTGCAACATTTTAAAACCTAACAGAGGAAAAACATTTTTGGAACTTTAAACATGCTTGTAAAAGTACATCACTGACATTATGTAAAATGTATAATAACATTTGTAAGTATTTTAACAATGGCTGTGATAGCCATTCTTCAAACAATGGGTACTTTAACAGAGACACAGGTTGTCCTCCTTTGTGGGGGGACAATTAAGGACATAGTACATATGTACTTACACAGAGACATGGAGATGAGCTGCCTCACTGAGGGGGTTGTCCTCCTTTGTGGGGGAGGGGGCTGGGTACCTGAGTCTTTCCAGCTGCTATTCCAATCACATCACTGATTACACCATGGAATGTCTACAAAGAGTAGAGACATCAACCAAAATGGAAATAATACCAAAAGTATCCTACAAGACTGAAGTTCTACTGGTGTGTACTTAAAATAAAGAAAGGTGTATCTTAATATAGTTTACTTTTGTTAAAGTCAATCAGATCAAAACTGTAGGAGGAGTAGCGCTTTGAAAAAATTTCAAAGAAATTTCTATTTTTAGTAACCATGACAACACCCTTTGTCAAATCAAAAGCGGATATTTGAATTTATGTATCTTAGTATAACCTACTTGTGTACTAAGTCTTATTGAAATTGGACCAATACTGTAGGAGGAGTAGGGTTTTGAAAGAATTTCAAAGAAATCTCGATTTTTAGTAACCATAGCAACACCATTTGTTGAAATCAATGACCAATGCAAAGAATTCTGCATCTTAGTATAGTCTACTTGTGTACCAAGTCTTATTGAAACTGGACCAAAATTCTAGGAGGAGTAACGGTTTGAAAAATTGTATACAGACAGCTAGATGGATGGAAGGTGCAGACACCTTATCAATGCATAAGCTCTTCTGATCTCTGACTAGTAGAGCTAAAAATAAACAAACAAGGACGCTGTCTCAAGACCTTTAAGCTTAGAAGCAGTTTTTTGGGGAGGGGGGAAGGGGGAAGGAGTAGTTTACCCATAAATATCTACTATTTACAATCTGTTAAATCAAATGGGTTGAACAACCTTTTTCTTAACATTAGTGAAGAGACTGAACTTGAATTATCAAAAGGGGAAATTCACTTTGCCCCAACATTTATTTGTGCCTTAGGCTTGGCAGGTCATTTGCACTATTATACGCAAAGTGCTTCCAAAACGCACAGACAACATCTGTTTTAATTGAACTTTCTTATGAATGCAATACCCCTGTTTTTCTGATCATTTATATAATTTCTGCAATTGAATTTAATCAATTTTTAACTACCTTTGCTCTGTTGAGATGCACCAATAAATTAGAGAAGATTTGTTTAATCAATCCCATCCACTGAGAATAATTCAGCATCCTCATCTGATCTGCAAGGCTACAGAACAAAGTTATAACAAAGTTACCAATGAGCTAAGAATAGGATTTATTATGTAGCTGTTCAAGAGATTTTTCTGTCTTTGCATTAAAAGAAATAAAGTATCTTTGTCATTTTCATATTAAGAATTTAAAAAAAAAAATTGAAAAATATAATTCATTTAAATAATCTAGTATATGTTTGCAGAAAAAAATATACTGAATTCCTTGAATTTTCATTGAATAATCAACTAGAAATATGTCCATGGGACATGAATGCCCCGCCAAGGGTATATTAGTAATGTAACATTTTAACACAAATTGAGAAAAGTGAGGTCAAGGTCAAAGGAAAGGTCAAGGTCAAAAATTCTTGATGCAGTTGAAAAGGTTACATCAGTATGTATTAGCATATGAAGTTTGATAAAAATATTATGAATGGTTTCTTTAAAACTGAGCTTAACACTAATTTAAGAAAAGTGAGGTCAAGTTCAAAGGAAAGGTCAAGGTCAAAAAATATTGCTGCAGTTGAATAGTTCTCATCAGTATGTATCAGCATATGAAGTTTGACACTAATTTAAGAAAAGTGAGGTCAAGGTCAAAGGAAAGGTCAAGGTCAAAAAATGTTGATGCAGTTGAATAGCTCTCATCAGTATATATCAGCATATGAAGTTTGATAACACTATCTTGAATGGTATCTTTAAAACTGAGCTAAAAACTTATTTAAGAAAAGTGAGGCAAGGTCAAAGGAAAGGTCAAGGTAAAAAATATTGATACAGTTGAATAGCTTTCATCAGTATTAGGGCTGCCACGATTAACCGAAATGTCGGTTAACCGCGAATCAAGATTTTTCGGTTTGATTCAGTACGTTTTTCCCCGATTTTGATTCAATTCAGGTTTGATTTTTTCACACTAACATCCGCTGTTGTTAGGTGCATTCTGATTAGTTTATCAGGAGAAATGATGGCAAATCATGTTAATGTAAACAAAAAAACCCAACAAAACCACGAAAATGGCCGTGAAGAAATCGGCGGGGGACTACTAGAGAGAATGTTCTATCGTTAAAATGATACATTCCATGTCCCGAGACACAGTTAGATTATTCTACCTAGGGGACTACTTCCATTTTCTACAGAGAGATGGCACAGAAGATTATTGCATTTAGGCCACACTTATCAGCCACGCACTTTTGAATTTAGAGGACCTGACAAAGTACAGCGAAATTTTGTATTTCTTTTTAAAATTGACATCGTTTTTGAATGTGAAATTAATTATTGACTGTATTGTTACGACAGAAATGTGTTTCGGCAGTTTGTAATCGTATTGGTGAATTAAAAATTTAAATCACATCAGACCCAACCGTAATTTCTATTGTGTATATTGTTTCTATAGCTTTTGTAAGCAAATCACCAAATTGTTATGTTTAGCGTATGCAATCATGGAAGTTTTGTTTGAAAGATATGTATGCATCTTTTTTCTTTTCAAACTATTGACCAGTATTTTAACAATTTGATTTCAGACATTTGATTCTTTGTTTGTATTTTGTAATTAGAACAGTAGGTATTTCCTTTGTTTTCTTGGCTTTACATTTCATATTATCCTAATAAATCTAATAAAAGTGTGTTTCATTATTTATTTTTAATCATCAAACATTACAAATTTTGTATAAAAATAGAAAAGGTTCTGTTTCTTATAATCGAATCGAAATTATTCGAAAATCGAGGTTTTTGTTTGAACCGAATCGATTCGAAAATTTTCTGATTCGTGGCAGCCCTAATCAGTATGTATAAGCGTATGAAGTTTGTTAAAAATATCTTGAATGGTTTCATTAAAACTGAGCTAAACACTAATTTAAGAAAAGTGAGGTCAAGGTCAAAAGAAAGGTCAAGGTCAAAAAATGTTGATGCAGTTGAATAGTTTACATCAGTATGTATCAACATATGAAGTTTGATTTACACTATCTTGAATGGTATCTTTAAAACTGAGCTATACACTAATTTAAGAAAAGTGAGGTCAAGGTCAAAGGAAAGGTCAAGGTCAAAAAATGTTGATGCAGTTGAATAGCTTACATCAGTATGTGTCAACATATGAAGTTTGATTACATTATCTTGTATGGTATCTTTAAAACTGAGCTAAACACTAATTTAAGAAAAGTGAGGTCAAGGTCAAAGGAAAGGTCAAAGTCAAAAAATGTTGATGCAGTTGCATCGCTCTCATCAATATCTATCAGCATATGAAGTTTGATAAAAATATCTTGGATAGTTTCTTTGAAACTGAGCTTTGAACAGAGCTAAACGCAAAGTGTGATGGAAGGACAGATGGAAGGATGGAAGACGGACATGACAAACACTATATGCCCCAGCCATATTCATGGTGGGGCATAAAAATAAACTAATATCATGTATACACCACACTATTAAACATGAATATAAAAATTGATGTGTTATGTCAATAATTCGTTACAATCTGCACATATGAATTTATTTCATAAGCTTGAACTCTTGTTAACAAAACACGACTTTTATAAACACAGGTATTTGCTTTATGCAGTGTTACAACGCACTTTGAAAAATTACGCACTTTGAAAAAAAATTTCAAAGTGCGTTAATTTTGGGACAACGTTAACGCACTTTGAAAAAAAATATTTCTTTTCAAAGTGCGTTAATATCGACCATATTAACGCACTTTGAAAAAAAAAATGTGCACGGCTTGGTCAATATTCTTGCAAATTTTAGGTATGATAAATAATTATTTGAACCTGGTTGGATAACTTTTCGGTGTTGACGTCAGGATCTGAGACATAGACGTTTTAAATATATTTTTAGGAGTTGTCTTGTTTCCAAAGGTTCTCGTAACTGTTTTAAAAGGGAAATGGGTCTTAAAAATAATGGAGGAATGATTGTTTAATAGCACAGTTTCGTTTCTTTTTTTCTTTTCTTTTTTAAATTTTATCCAGTCTCTAATAAGTTCGGTAGATGTAGGTGTCGATAAGTGACTTAATGCATCGCATTTTTCTTAGGGAAAAGGGAGCAATTATGATTTTTCCACACCATGAAAATTCTCTCTCTCTCTCTCTAACTCTCTCTCTCTCCCTCTCTCTCTCATCTATTTTTCTATCATATCCATCTATCTATCTATTGTGAATATATATGATATATTGGTTGACCCATTTATTTGATAGTAAGAAAATAAACCTTAGCCACATTACTCACTCGACTGAAATTTTTACCTCGTTCACTAGTAACTTTTTCTCAAAAAAGTTATGCAGTCAGATTACTTCTAAATCTGTAATTTGATATCATGAAAACGCTAGACATGTCAAATAGCATGTTTTAATTACCATGTTAATGTATTTTTTTTATCTGAGGAATCATTATGGATACATTTTGAATAAAGGTTGTGCGGCTCTCTTCTTTAATACAATAGGGTGCGTTTTTTTTTTTTTCAGGAAAGCTTATTTCAATTTTTTCATCTATTTTACGTTAACTCAAATTTATTGAGAGAAATAATATCAATGCCATACCAGTTATGTAAATACATATATTTGTGTAGGAAAGACAGATAGTTGGGCTGAGGGACTTTCTACCTGTCTTCTCTTTGTTCTCGATGAGGGTTGATCAATTCATCAGTTTTTCGGAAGAAATATTACAAATTAATGCTATCTATTATTAAAATATAAGTCCAAAATTTTTATTTTATACGTATTTTTTCAAAGTGCGTTAAGTGCCTCCATGGTAAAAATGTTGATGTACACTCTTAAAGCACTTTGAAAAAAATTTTCAAAGTGCGTTGATTTTGTCCAAAATTTAACGCACTTTGAAAATTTTTTTCAAAGTACATAATTTTTTCAAAGTGCGTTGCCACAATGCAGGTATGCTTTAACCATGTTTTACGGTATTTCTATGGAGGATTAGAGACCAGCTATCCCTTTAGATACAAAATGCTATACCTGGTGACATTTTAATCCTCTGTTTCAACATTCTCAGCTTCTGACACTGCCTCTAACACATTATGCAAATTATCCCACGTTTCCAACTATCGTTGATGCCCTGGCATACTCTACTAACTAGACAGTGATTCCTTAATTAATCACTGTGCTCAGTGAAAGACACTTTCCTAATCATGGTTGACTATAGCATTCCCTAATCTAGCTTTACCTGTTTTGATTTTTTTGTTTTTACCTTCATGATATATAAAACCTATACCCACTTTCATAATAACCATTCTCCAATGATAATGGCAATGGCCTTGACCTCTCTGATCTGTTGATACTGACCTTGACCTCTCTGTACTGACCTGTTTAACAATGACCTTGACCTCTGTACTGACCTGTTTAACACTGGCCTTGACCCCTCTGTACTGACCTGTTTAACAATGACCTTGACCTCTCTTTACTTACCTGTTTAACAATGGCCTTGAATGCTGTGAAAGCCTCCTCTCTGTATACATTGACAAAATTAAAGCGACTTTTCCTGAGCATTCCAAACACAAGGGAGGCAATCTTCTCCTGAAAAATCCAAGACATAAAATATGACCCAGTATTGATAAAACAGCTTGGGCCATCTACAAAAAATTTTGTTTGCCCTCTCCCAGTCGACTGCCTAAAATGGCCCAACTCAAAACTTTTTTTTACCTCCAGGAAACGATATTTTTTCTGACTAGTAGAGCTAAAAAAAAAAAGATTGCCTGTTGCATATAATTTTGAAATTTTTGGTCTGATAAGGTAAAGTTGTTTTTTGGTTAACAGATATGTTATTTGACCAAGACCTACCTCCTCCAACAAAGGTTCCTTGACTGTGACAGGACGATTGAGGTCAGCAAACATACACTTAGCCAAATCCTCTTGAAACATTTTCTCTATGACATTCTCAAGTTCTGCCAGCTGGGAACTAAGGTGTCTACAAACATACATCCAAATTATATATGACAGGGCCTCAAGTAGGAATATGTCTATGGTCATATTAGGTAAACTGTACATGTACGAGGGGTTATCATAAAGTTCGTAGACTGATGCGATAAAATTAATACTAAGTAGTCTGTACTTACAAAGTTTATAAAAAAAATATAAAACAACAAAAGTTAAAGAAGTGTTGAAAGTTTTAGCTTGATACAATGATAATTTGCCAAATTATCATAAAATTAAAAAAGACATTATATGAACATTCGGCGCTGCCGCCATTTAGTTTCATGACGTCAGAAGACGTAATTGTTTCTCAATGTCCGCTCCCTCTTATCTTGATGAGGTTCCATGGAGTTCAGTAAAGACTTAAACCCGTCTTGTTTATAAAACAACTTTACAATGTCATGAATAGTTGAAGCTGATTTCAATGTATATAATATTGTAAATGGATGTATACATAGTGAAAGATTCTCACCTGATTTTAACAGCATAATTTGCTTGTCGGTGTTCAATATCTATCACACATGATCAACGTCACTTTTCCATGTGCCAAACTATGAACACCCTGACAACAAATCGACATTAACTGTGCATTTCTCATCTTTCTAAATCTTTTTTCCTGCATTTAAAAACAAGTACTCTGGATGCATTTTATTTTTCTGTAGACTGTTTAAACATTTCCTAGGTCTATGCCAGTTTTTCCAGGGGGGAAACTTTATATAATGTTGGAAAAAGAAACTGCCTCCCCCTTTTTAACACCATTACAGACCTTTAATTGTTCGGACATTTCATATAAAATTTATGATAAAATTTCATAGAACTTAAAAATGGGGTAAAAATTTGAAATTTTACGGAACAATTGTGTCATACCATATGAGTGAATTAACGTGATTTCTGGATGACAAATGCTCATATCAAAATAGTTTTTTCTCAGTTACAGTTAGGTAGAAAAAACGTCATCTTCAAGGTTGCGCTGCCTGGACATACCACTGCTTACAAAAACATCAACACTTTATTAAAAAATAAAACCTTTGAGTTATAGTTTATTATGTAGATAGAACTAGGAAAGATGATGCTATTCAAATGTTTCAAAATTCCCTGATGTACTTAAGCGGTTTTAATTCTACGATGCTAGTCCACGAACTTTTTGATTACCAATCTATGTTTGCAGTATAAGAATTTTATGCATCACAAAAACATGGTAAATATACTGAATAAAAATTAAATCTTTTCATCTGGGTCATTTATATATCAAAGTTGTACACTGTAGCATAATATAAAAAAGTTATTGGTATGAAAATTGTACATTGATAAATGATGTAAAGTTAAATTAAAATGGTGTAGTATTTCTGGTGACAACGTCTGACTTTGCTATAAACGGTCTATGTATTTCATTTTACATTTTCACCATTTTACTGTATATAGTATATAATTTCCATTTCTCCTTGTTTTCTCTGTGATAACTCTTTGAAAGTTAGGAGAGTTGGTTTCTTGATCATTCCAACGGAATGCAAATTTCACCAAGCGAAAGGTCAGGAGCTAAGAAGGCCTAATATGCATGTAATTCTCGTGCGGCTGTCTTTGTGTCTGACTCTAAGGAGGCCTAATATGCATGTAATTCTCGTGTGGCTGTCTTTGTGTTTGACGTCAGTGGGCGGGAACTATTGAAATTGACATGCGAGGCCTCGTGTAATTTAAATCTATTAGTTTACATTTTTAAAATTTAAATTTACAATTTTATTTCACAATGGAATGGAAATATAAGGAATCTTTGTCTAGTTAGTAGAGTATGCCTGGGACATCAACGAGAGTTGGAAACGTGGGATAATTTATGCATAACGGGCTTCGCCCGTTATGCAAATTATCCCTCGTTTCCAACTATCGTTGATGCCCCGGGCATACTCTACTAACTAGACAAAGATTCCTTAAATATACAGTACCTGAAGCTGTGGACTCCTGCCAGTTCCTGTGTCAGGACTTCTTGAGTGGTAGGTATGAGATCTAATGCACTTACAATCTTTTGAGTGGACAGTAATAGTTGTATGCTATGGTTGGTTGGGTTTAGTGGACCGTAGACATCAACTTTAGCTGTGTGCAAATAATGAATGGACTTGATTGAATAAAGACTTAGTGATACCAACTCAAACTTCAGTAGTGCTATTAAAAAACTAATTTTTTTAAACAAATCTTTCTGTCTATTATTTAAGAGTCCATATACGTATACTACAGGCATATTTTGTTGGCCCTTATACCTGTAAATAGAAATTATCATGAAGTTTGACATAATAAGCCCTGGTCTGGGACAGCTTGATTATCTTAAGTGACCCCGGGGTCAAGAGTTCATCAATGCTGTGGATCTTGTACCTGGTAGCAAAACAAAAACATATTCTAAGAGCTCTGACAGCTAAAATCTTGACAAAAACCATATTATAGAACTTTATAATCAGACTGGATTGTCAAGATCTTATGACAGAAATTTATTTTTTATGGTTTTATTATTGATGATGAACTAAAACGTATATTCTTCCTTTCAAGAAAAAAAAATTGACTTAGAAAAAGAAATGTCCATTTTGCTTGTACATGTACCGGCGCCAGCTCAGTTGTTTGATGGTCTGACATGTCTTCAGCATGTTGTCCTGTAGAATGTCATGTAATGAAACGGCTTGGAAGAAGACATCAGATTTGGTAGAAATCTGTTTTGCTATGTGAACCTCCACAATATCAAGGTAATGACTCAACTGGAAAAAATACAAAACCTTACCAAAAAAGCAATCTGTCATGGTAAACAAATAAATGGGAAAATATTGATAGATTTTAATTCCAAAAATACAATTTCTTTTATGATTTTCAGGAAATGTGCCTTGAAATAGATTTATTCTACAAGTGCTCCTTTTCCTATGGAATTTAACCAGCTGACCCCTGATTTTATAAATAAAGAATCATAGCATGTAATTTGCTGTCAAGGTGGATTCACAACTAGAATGAAGAATCTGGTTTCTGTAACTTGAGATGATATTGCTAGACTGGTTAACTTGGTTAAGAACACTGCTGGTTTTTTTTTTTTTTTTACCTTCTCTTGTTGAAGTTTGGAGAACTGGGATGATCCTCCATTTTTCTTGCACTCCTCCACCTGTGACCATGGAAACACAGCATTGAATGTTCCGATATCCAGGTCAAAGTTCGATAGCATGAACAACTACAATGAAATATATGGAGATAACGAACAGTATTCAAGCTTAAAAGTCCATTAAACAATACAAAATAGGAGCAGAGCAAACACGGACTCCAAACATCAGAGGTGGGATCAGGTGCCATGGAGAAGTGAGCATCCCCTGCCGACCGGTCACACCCGCCGTGTGCTCCTTGTCATGATCGGGAAATAACGGAAAAATCTGTTGACAATTCAGTGTGTATATAATGGCCTAACAATTAGTATGAAAAACGTCAGTCAGCATTTGACTCAATGATAAATTGTATTTGCTGACAAGGTCACTGTATCGACCATAGAACTTACGAAATGATGACTTTAAACGAGACAGCTGATATTCTTGTTTCATCAACTTATTTGTCAATAATTTACCTCGTTTTAGAAATTGTACATACGTAGAGCATGCTCTTGCGTATCGAATCAACTGAGAGATATATACCCCGTATGCAGGTGATGAAGGTATATTGCTGCATAAGTAAGGGAAGTTGACGATTGAAAAGTTAAAGTCATCACGTTTATCATAAAGCTTGGTTGTTAGATTACCATTAACGTCTTTTTTCAAGTAAAATATCCAAATATGAAACAGATGTGTCAGACTCTGTGGTATCTTTTATCTCAAGTTCACCAGGATATATCGTATCGACATAAGAATGGAAATAGCCATTGTTAATTGACAATACGTCGTCGATATATCTAAATGTCGAGTTGAAGGCCACAGCAAGTGTTTTCTTCTTTTCACGTACAAGATTTTGGACAAATTCTGCTTCATATGAATACAAAAAAAGGTCTGCTAATAATGGGGCGCAATACAAGATATGACAGAACAATGAAACACTACATCTATACTGACGGCTAGCTACAATATAGAGGAAATCAAGTCATTTATTGAATATTTTTAAAAATTACTATATGTATATCTTATTCGAAGTAGTAGTTTAATTACCAATCTAGGTTACAGTAGAGTAACAGCTGATTTACAGCATTTTTTCATTTACAAGTTTACAGTAAAGTAACAACTGACTTACAGCATTATATCATTTACAAGTTTACTAAGAATCCCTATTGTGGCCCCAACTTGGTCAAGATTTGAATAAATTTGAATCAAAACTTCTTGTGGATGCTTACATGACTGTTAAAATTCCATGCACTTTAGTTGTGCTCCTTCCATTCTTGGAAAGATTGTTAAAGATTTTTTTAACAAGGGCAAGGGCTTTATTCGAACTTTCATTTTCTAATCAGGCATTGTGCAAAGTTTGGTAAAATTGGCCTTGTGGTATTGAAGTCAAAAATGTGATATGTTTACAGACATATACATGGACTTCTAGACAACCTGATGACAAACTTTGATTAGAAAAGCAAAAGAAATTTGAGTCTTTGATTCAGATGAGCTGAATATCTTGTATGCTCTAAGCATATTGATAAAATAGCTATGTGGTATGGAAATGATAAACCCATCAATATACCGTAGAAATGATAAACTCACCCATTTGTTGTAGAAATGATAAACTCACCCATTTGTTGTAGAAATGATAAACTCACCCATTTGTTGTAGAAATGATAAACTCACACATTTATTGTAGAAATGATAAACTCACGCATTTGTTGTAGGTGAATAACGTGTATCTCATGGACTCTTGATTTTTTAAAACTTTTTTAATCTTGATTTGGCATCTGAATCACTCTTCCTAATTGCCTTACCAGTAAAACAGACTTTAAAGGGCCTAATGAAAATTAAAGAATTAAATTTAAATCCTCAACATCATGATTATCTCCATTTTCATTGACTTTACAAAAACTATTACTGTTAAGAGAATTCAAGAGTATCAAAGATTATTCAAGATTGTTAATTAGGGACTGCCTAGTTTTGTGAATTACATGTACATGATAATAATGGTCTACATGGAGCTAAGACTCACTTTGAAGAGGTCTACAAGTCTAGACAACAGATCTGATGCTGCTGATGGAATGTCATTCACACACTGACAATACTCCACCATCATCTTCAACAGTATCAGCACCGTCCTGTAAACAATCATTTATACTGTAAATAAACATTACCTATACTGTAAACAAATCAACCCCATCTGTTCTGTAAACAAGTAAACATCATCTATACTGTAAGTAAATAATTTAAAACATCTTCTATACATAGTACTTTGAGTAGATAAAAATCAATTATCATCAATTGCAGGTAACTGTGCTGTGTTTGAAAAAAACAGGACCATATTTGCATAAGCCTACATACTTATGAAATTGAAGATGTTAATTACTGATACAAACAGAAGTATCATATACATCTTGTTAATTACCACCCCTTCCAACAATCTATTCTGGCATCATCTGCACTAGGATTTGCATCTCAAGCTAAAAACAAAAAAGGATAAAATTTCTCTTGTTTTAAAAAAATGTATTCATTCATCATGTATTCTTTTTGATTTAATTTAGCAATTCCGTACTATAATTTTCAGACCATTCTTTCATCTTTTTACTTCTTTCTTTCTTTTGCTTCCATAACTCTAATTAATATGATTATTCTTAGGATCCAACACACAATTACAATAAAATACAAGAGGCCCATGGGCCACATCGCTCACCTGAGTAACTTTGGCCATGCTGTTCTTTACCAGATTTCCCCCCTTGTAATACCTATTGTGGTCCCGCCCTACCCTCAGGGGTCATGATTTGAACAATTTAGAATCTACACTACCCCGGGATGCTTCCAAATAAGTTTCAGCTTTTCTGGTCCAGTGGTTCTTGAAAAGAAGATTTTTAAAAATTTTTCTTATATATTTCAATGTAAAACTTGGATTCCCTATTGTGTTCAACCCTACCCCCGGGGGTTCATGATTTGAACAGTGGATGCTTCCACTTAAGTTTCAGTTTTTCTGGCCCAGTGGTTCTTGAGAAGAAGATTTTAAAAGATTTTTCCTATATATTTCAATGTAAAACTTGGATTCACTATTGTGGCTCCGCCCTACCCCCAGGGGTCATGATTTGAACAATTTAGATTCTACACTACCCCAGGATGCTTCCACATAAGTTTCAGTTTTTCTGGCCCAGTTGTTCTTGAGAAGAAGATTTTTAAAGATTTTTCTTATATATTTCAATGTAAAACTTGGATTCATTATTGTGGCCCCGCCCTACCCCCGGGGTCATGATTTGAATAATTTAAAATCTACACTACCCGGGGATGCTTCCACATAAGTTTCAGCTTTCCTGGCCTAAGGTTCCTGAGAAGAAGATTTTCAAAGATTTTTCCTATGTAAAACTTGGATTCCCTATTGTGGCCCCGCCCTTCAACCAGGGGTCATGATTTGAACAATTTAGAATCTACACTACTCCAGGATGCTTCAATATAAGTTTCAGTTTTTCTGGCCCAGTGGTTCTTGAGAAGAAGATTTTTTAAGATTTTTTCCTATATATTTCAATGTAAAACTTGGATTCCCTATTGTGGCCCCACCCTACCCCCGGGGGTCATGATTTTAACAATTTAGATTCTACACTACCCCAGGATGCTTCCATAGAAGTTTCAGTATTTCTGGCCTAGTGGTTCTTGAGGAGAAGATTTTTAAAGATTTTTCTTTTAAATTTCAATGTAAAACTTGGATTCCCTATTGTGGCCCCGCCCTACCCCCGGGGGTCATGATTTTAACAATTTAGAATTTACACTATCCCAGGATGCTTCCACGTAAGTTTCAGCTTTTCTGGCTCAGTGGTTCTTGAGAAGAAGATTTTTTAATGACCCCACCATATTTTTGTCTTTTCTTGATTATCTCCCCTTGTAAGGGGACTTGGCCCTTTATTTTAACAATTTACACTCCCCTTCACCCAAGGATACTTTGTACCAAGTTTGGTTAAAATTGGCCCAGTGGTTCTTGAGAAGAAGTTGAAAATGTGAAAAGTTTACAGACGGACGGACAGACGGACGGACAACGGGTGATCAGAAAAGCTCACTTGAGCTTTCAGCTCAGGTGAGCTAATAACACTAACAAATTAATATTAATGATCCTGGTTTAATGATCCTGGTTTATGTAAATTAGAAAATACGTAAATATTCAAAGCAATGGACACATCTTTGCCCTGGCTACAATGACCTTGACACATTGATCATGGGCGTGGTCACACACAGCACACATTTCATTGAGATTGGTCTGGACAGTGACATACTCAGTCTTGGTGATCATTACATCAGCTGCCTCTTCACTCCTGGATTATGTCAAAAATTTACAAGCACCAATTCTGAAGAATTTTTCTAAATTACAAACTTTGGTTTTAATAATTTAAGGAAATTTGATTTTTAAATTAACATTTTTACCTGGTATACATGATATATGCATGCATTCATAACTCTCTTTCATACTGCTTTTAGTTTATCCATCTTCAAACTAGAGGTGCTGTGGATACACAGTGATACATTTTTTATACATTTCTTGCTACATGTGTTCTCCAGTTTGTTTTCACTAAACAATACATGTACTCCTAATGATTTTTCTCTAATTTGGATACTTCTTTCCATCATCCTAATAACAGTTAGTGAGTGAGTGACATGCACAGCACAACCACACCACTTCTAACCTTTAATCTTTACACAGAGACTTCCAATGTCAGTGTTTTTTATAATGTCAATTATGGCATCATAACATTTATAAGAAAGAAAAATGTCTCCAAATTCATTCCAAGGAGTTACTTCAGATACAAATCTCATGAAAAGCAGAAAGGTAGAAATGACAAACATTAATTGTTAATAAATAATTTTTATTATTTGTACAAACATTACTGACACATTTTTGCTTCAGAAATCACAGACATGAGAGAATAAACTGTCTCATAAAATGCATACGAATAAAAAGTTTGGTTTCTCTAAAAATGCCATTATGATAACTTAGAACATGTTTATATGAGAGAGTGAGTTCTCTCCCCTTCAGTGACCAGTGTCTTATTATTGCACACAGAGAAATAATGACAATATCTGACTGAAGAGGGCACTGTCACCTTACGTCCCATACATCGTTCATGTCCTGTGCTAAACTCTCCAACCCTCGTAAAGTTTTAAATGTTCCCGAATAGAACGCTAAGTCGGACATCACCAGTCTGAAATCAGAACGATAGCTTCTTGTTAAGGATTAAGCTACATAGAGGTGTGCAAATTTTATGTTCATTGACTGAAATAAAGGGACATAACATGGTAAAAAACAATAAAATCATAATAATTGATGAACAGTGTTAGAATGCTGTTCACATGTGCATGTAATACTCATTTAATCTAAAGAATGTGATTCTCACAAAGTGACAATTAGTGAAAATTAGCTTTACATGCAAAATCAACGGAGATTAACAAATATTTTGCTGAGGTCAATACTTGACCTACAATTCAGAAAGCTTCAAAACCTATACAACTCTATAAAGACAGTACATGGATATTTACATGTATACAAGACAATGTCTCCAGTCCTATTCAGAATATTATGATAATATGCTAGTCTAGTTCTGTCTAAAGAGTGTATTCATTGAAAGAAGACATTTACCCATGTTGAGGTAGGTCAGATATTTACCCATGTTGAGGTCAGAATATTTACGCATTTTGGGGTCAGATAGTTACCCATGCTAAGGCGAGATATTTACTCATGTTGAAGTCGGATATTTACCCATGTTGAGGTCAGATATTCACCCATGTTGAGGTCAGATATTTACCCATGTTGAGGTCAGATATATATCCATGTTGATATCAGATATTCACCCATGTTGAGGTCAGATATTCACCCATGTTGAGGTCAGATATTTACTCATGTTGATAACAGATATTTACCCATGTTGAGGTCAGATATTTACCAATGTTGATATCAGATATTTACCCATGTTGAGGTCCTCCATTTTTGGAGACTTCTAGTGTAACTAACTGCTGTCTGATCAACTTCTTAAAACAGCTGTTAATCTTGGTAAACAGCTCCTGTAAAACATACAAACAACAAGTGAGAGCTTGTAGTCATGATCATGATTAACTGACATTGTCATTATCTATGAATACAGTCTCTATTCACAAATTCTCAATGATCTGTATTATGCATGCTTACATAGCCAGGTATATACATGTACTGTATAACGGGTTATTTTTACTGCTGTAAATTTTTACAAATTTTGGTTAAATAGGTTTTAATTTTTACGCGTTAATTGTTCACAAATTGAGCATGTCCGTAAAAATTAAAATCATCAGAGGTAAAATTCCAGATCAATAATTATTAGCACTCCCACTTTGAATGCGTTTAGATACAATTTACTGTTTCTGGACAACCCGATGTAAAAAAAAAAAAGAAGAAAAAAAGAAACTGTTCCCGTGATAACGATTCATTAAATAATAATATGTTTGTATCTTTAAAGACCACATGCCCTTCATTTATTCCTGTTTTTTTTTTAACACATTGCTAGTTATCATTATTGTTGCGCACCACGTGCTCATCCTGATTTTACAAGAAACAGACAACTCAAGCCATCATGATTTAATTGACAGTACATGTATTACAGTGTATTAAAAAGTCGAAGTTTTTATTCGAAGCACATAAAACAGGAGGAATGGTCAAAGACCTAAAAAAAACAAGAGGCCCAAGGTCCTTAACGGTCACCTGAGTATAATACAACAATTTAGAAGTTAAATACACTGACAGATGAAGCTTTGTTGCCCTAAAGCAAGAGAAGCAGGAAGATGAGGATCAACAAAATAATTAGTCTAGTATTCCATAACTTAAGTTCTAATCTGTCCCCCACTTAATATTATCACCATGCAGACTATTAACAAACTATTAGTGCTTCTGTACTATTTTTAAACCCATATTAAGACCTCTAGCATTGACCTCTCTTATGGTCTTTGAAGAACTTTTAATAAGATAAGTTATTTTTGTCTAATTTTTATTTATCTATTACTTACAGGATTGCCTGATTATTAAAACTAAGAAAGTACTTTTTGAATTATACAATAAACATTCTTACATAATTATCTTATTCTGTTAATCTTTCAAATACATTATTTACAGTGATTAATTATCAAAGGTGAATGGAAAAGGGGAATAACTTCTCTCAGTAGAATACAAATTAATAGAGCCCTGTCCAGGACCAGATTGCTTAGAAATATTGTCCAGATGTTCAAAAATCTGGTAGAAATACGCTTACTTATATCATTTAAACTTTTACTCACTTTGCTTTCGATATGCCCAGAAGCAGAGAAGAATTTCACAGGTACAATGCATTTTCACTACAGATTCAACAAAGCCTTACCCTAACACCAGAACCCAAGAGCAAAGGTCAAGAAATATACAAATTTGGAAGAGTTACCCTCATCATCATAACTATGGACTTCAAAGAATTAACACTTTTCCACTATATTATCAAAAGCCCCCCCCCCTTCCTCCTTATGCCAGAACCCCTGACCCTAGGACCACAAGATTAAAAAATTCTGTTCGAAGCTCCCATCTTCATCATAGCTAAGCAATTTATTTATCAGCTCAACACTAAGGAGCAGACAGGATTAGTTAATGATTAATTAATAGAATTAATGCATTTTCACTATATAATCAATAGAGCCCCCCTCCCCCCCTCCTCAAGAACCTCAAAAACTGAGGCCATGTATTTAAAAATTTGGAAGAGGCATCCTTGCCTATCATAATCATGCACTTAGTTTGTTTAAATAATCTCCAGTAGCAAAGAAGAAGATTTTCATAGAATCAATGCATTTTCACTATATAATCAATAGAGCCCTGCCCTAACACCGGAACCTCTGACCCTGGGGCCATGAAATTCACAATTTTTAAAAAGGCATCCTTATGCATCATAACCATGCACTTAGTTTGTTTAAATAATCTCCAGTAGCAGAGAAGAAGATTTTCAAAGAATCAATGCATTTTCACTACATAATCAATAGAGCCCCACCCTAACACCAGAACCCCTGACCCTGGGGCCATGAAATTTAAAATTTTTGAAAAGGCATCCTTATGCATCATAACCATGCACTTAGTTTGTTTAAATAATACCCAGGAGCAGAGAAGAAGATTTTCAAAGAATTAATGCATTTTCACTATATAATCTATAGAGCTCTGCCCTAACACCAGAACCCCTGACCCAGGGGCCATGGCTTTCACAATTCTGGAAGGAACCCACCTCCTCATCATAACTATGTACTTAGTTTATCACCTTAATGCCCAGGAGCAGAGGAGAAGATTTTCAAAGAATTAATGCATTTTCACTATATAGTCGATAGAGCCCCACCCTAACACCAGAACCCCTGACCCTGGGGCCATGAATGTCACAATTTTGGAAGAGGCACTCTTGCTCATCATAACTATGTACTTAATACTTTACTTAATACCCAGGGGCAGAGAAGAAGATTTTCAAAGAATTAATGCATTTTCACTATATAATCTATAGAGCCCCGCCCTAACACCAGAACCCCTGACCCTGGGGCCATGAATGTCACAATTTTGAAAGAGGCACTCTTGCTCATCATAACTATGTACTTAGTTACTTTATTTAATACCCAGGAGCAGAGAAGAAGATTTTCAAAGAATTAATGCATTTTCACTATATAATCAATAGAGCCCCGCCCTTACACCAGAACCCCTAACCCGGGGCCATGAATTTCACAATTTTGGAAGAGGCACTCTTGCTCATCATAACTATGTACTTTGTTACCTTATTTAATACCCAGGAGCAGAGAAGAAGATTTTCAAAGAAATAATGCACTTTCACTATATGATCTATATAGCCCCACCCTGGGGCCAGAACCCCTACCCTGGGGCCATGAATTTCACAATTTTGAAAGAGGCACTCTTGCTCACCATAACTATGTACTTAGTTACTTTATTTAATACCCAGGAGCAGAGAAGAAGATTTTCAAAGAATTATTGCATTTTCACTATATAATCAATAGAGCCCCGCCCTTACACCAGAACCCCTGACACAATTTTGGAAGAGGCACTCTTGCTCATCATAACTATGTACTTTGTTACCTTATTTAATACCCAGGAGCAGAGAAGAAGATTTTCAAAGAATAAATGCATTTTCACTATATAATCTAGAGAGCCCCGCCCTAACACCAGAACCCCTGACCCTGGGGCCATGAATTTCACAATTTTGGAAGAGGCACTCTTGCTCATCATAACTATGTACTTAATTACCTTATTTAATACCCAGGAGCAGAGAAGAAGATTTTCAAAGAAATAATGCACTTTCACTATATGATCTATATAGCCCCACCCTGGGGCCAGAACCCCTGACCCTGGGGCCATGAATTTCAAAATTTTGGTAGAGGGCTCAATGCTTATTACAATGATGCCAACAGTTTGACTGCTTGATGTCCAGGAGTAAAGAAGAAGATTTTTAAAGATTGCATTATTTTTGGTGGTTTTAGCCCCACCCCTCAGGCCCCAGGTGGGCAGGGACCATGAAATTCACAATTTTTGTTCCCCTTCACCCATAGATGCTATATGCCAAATTTGGTTGAAATTGGTTAAGCGGTTTCAGAGAAGAAGCTAAAAATGTTCAAATGTTAACGCACGACGCACGCCGACGGACGAGAACGGATAGCAATAGGTCACCTGAGTGACTCAGGTGACCTAAAAAAGGATATAATTGGAAGACCTGTAATAATTAAGTCATTTTCAGAAATTATGCGTCTCGTAAAAATGCTAAATAATAGAGTAACCAGGTGTAATGTTTCAGGTTTTAAAGAAATATAAATTTGCTGCCACCATTTGTAACGTGTAGATTTAACTAGTAGGTACCCATGAGGCACGTTACAATAATGGGTTCGAAGGTACCTGTACAGTCAAGTAAATTGAAATGAAGTGTGATCAATTAAAATATATTAATTTTATTAAACTAATAAATGGAACAATTTACAGAATTTTATATAACGTCCCAGTTCACAGTGTGATGTACAATAATAATAATCACATTCAAATGTCACAGTTGCGCTTTATACTCGGTGAAAGGTGCTACCGTCTTAAGGTGCTAGGTGTTACCGATAGCATTGGAGCAAACTGGTTCTAGGTGTCCGGTGCTCAGGTGCTAGGTGCTACTGATACAAGCTAATTGGTTCTAAGTTCCATCATTACTGGTGCTAACTCGGTGTCAGCTAGGTGCAAGGTCTCTGCTAAAATATACTTGGTCTAATCTCTGAACATAAATTCTCAAAGTGACTCGGTGTAAGGTGCAAGTGCAACGACTATCTAAACTTAATTCCATGTATGTTCAAACTAAAGTCCACAACCCTAAATTTATAACTTCTGGTCAAAGAATAAAGTAATCTATGTCATTAAAATGAAAAGTATGCCATGCAATTTCCATAAATCTAAGTTTCTAAATATTCAACATGTTCAATATTACTTCAAACTTGTTAAATTTTTCTTACTGCGCTATAACTTAAAACTATTTTAAAATATCTTTACTTTAGAAAGCTTTCTTATATAAAATAATACCCTAGATCAAGGTGCAAGGTGCTGCACAAGGTGGAACTTCAAGCGGGATTCTGACAAACGCACTTTCAGAATCTTCTCTTTTATACCATGATGCAATGATGCATCATCTACATCATATGTAATTCGTAAAACTTCAAAAACTATTCTTTAATCAATGTACTTGAATTACTTTCTTTACTAATAAAACATCTATAAAACTCATTAATTAATTGCATTTATCACCATATTGTGATAAATGCTTTTAATACCAGTGCAAGAGCGATAACTCGTGCGTTCTTGGTAGTGGTTAAACATTATTGAGACCATGAGTTTTAAATAGAGGACGCAATACAATCAAGCACCTTATGACCCGATTTTCATAGTCTACCGAAAAAGCTAGAAGGGCAGACATGTTGCAAAATTTCATCTCTAGTCTGCACACTTTGGAAGGAAAATGTTTTTACCCACCTTTCAGCAAAATTATTTCCATTTTTGTGCATTATTC